GTCGTAGTTTAGACCTCGTACATTAACGTTAGTGGAGATATTGTCACATGACTGATGTTGATTGAAGGACGATTTCGAGAGGTTAACTCGGAAATTAATTTTCTCAACGTTRAATTKTGTGAGAGGGGTGGTTGTTCTCTGACCCGCTGACATGACGGTCACAGCGGAAGTCCATTCCAGGTTGTGAAGAGCAAAGTCGTAAGACATTGTGTACGAGTCTTGCGATTTCCTTTGGAAAGTCATCGACTTGAACAATTGTTCGGTGGTGGAGGCCAGTTGTGARTTCTGGAATCTGATGTTGGGCATTTCCATGGCGACGTTGTCTTCCTGCCACATCAAGTCAAATAACTTGTTGTTTTCTGTGTTTTGGAAAACGATTGGTCTTAGGATTTCGTTTTTGATCTGGACGAACGCATTATTTCTGGTGGACATCTTCACTTCGCTGGAAACAGTGTGGGCTAACACTCCCATAAATCTTTGTAGGGCTGAGTCGAATGCTTGAGTTGCATAACCGTCTTGAGTTTTGATGTTAGCGTCGGCGTTTTGGAATTTTGCTGGCCTGACCACGGCGTGTTTGTCGTCGTAGAATCCGGTAGACAAGTTACTGTACACGTTGTTCATGACAATTGTGAAGTAACCCGAACGTGCGTCGCGGACGTCAGATTTGAACAATCCAACGGTTTCGATCTGGTTGAAATGGTACTGAGCGAGCACAGTGTCGTTTTCGGGGTTTAAGTACATGTATTTCAATTTACCGCTATCGAGGTTGTTCATGGTTGAGTTGTAGAACGTCACGAAATTGTTGGCGGACAATTTGACRGAATCTCTGACAACGTTCAAAGCTCCGTTCAAGTAGTTTATGTTATCGGCGATATTGTGGTTGACGGCAATTTGTTGGATAGCTGCAACTTTATCGGCGATTTTCTTGGTGAGTCCATTGAACTGACCTCTAGCAGCTTGGTTTTGATTTCCATACTGTTGTTGTTGTCGTTGTTGTTGACGTTGTTGATTTGAGTTTTCGTCTAAACCGAATTGGGTTTCGTCGTACTGACTGTTTTGGTATTGACGGCTGGCGAATGTTGATTCGGAATTGTCTTCATTGTTCATGGCGTGCTTTTTGAATTGGTCATTGTTGTTATAGATTTTGGTATCATCTGTATTCTGATCGAAAAGGATGGCACCCACATTAAACGATTCATCACTGGAGTCTGTTTGTTGGAAACGGAACCACTGGGTGTCTAAAATCAAAAATTACTGGTAAATAATATTTTTTTCCATAATCTATCGATATTTTTCGTCTAAATAATTTTTGCATAACATTTTTTGTTTTTAAACGTGTACTTACGGATTTCATCCTGGTTTTTGTTGTTGTTGTTGTTGTTGTTGTTGATTYTGTAGGCATTGACTCCTAGAGCCACGCCAGCCAAAAGGACGGATGCAATAACCAAAGAAGACTTCATGTTTGGTAGTTCAACTGATACTGGTACCTAATCGTAATGGCTGGCTGGTATTTATATGATGGCCAGGGTATTCGAAATTCTTTAGTCAGCAATATGCAAAGCAGCTATAGCTGAAGAAAAAATAGATTACTATTATAATGCATATTAGTATTTTGACCTACCTATTTTGTGATTAGCGTTCAAAGTTGTTTTGTTTCGTATACACTTTACGATTACTCAAACACTTATTGGCTGCAGTCAGATTTTACATATGATTGAATTCAATTGTATATCATACTTAATGTATACTAAAATGAATCAATGAAATCATAAATTTACAATATTTATTTTTTCCATATATATATTTTTTGTTTTCAAATAAATTAGCCTAAGTTAAAAATTAAAAAAACTTGAACCATAATATTACTTATTTACTAATATCTATTTATAAAAGATCGAATAACATTGGTACCTACATACAATGAATCAATATTATTTCGTATTAGATATCTAAAGTGTATGTTGTAGAACATAATATTGGTGAGTTAAGGTTTTATTTTTATAATTTCAAATACTTATAACAAACTATTTTAAAAGATAAATAATTTAAATATATAATTATTATCATACAAATATTAACTTA